CCGCTGATTGGCTCGGCCGTCTAGCGTCGGCTGATCTCTCGCCTCTCTGATTGGTCGGCGTTTTTCGTCGATAACTCGTAAACGAAGCCGCGGATCGCATTTTCGCCAAGGAAAAAGTTGCTTCGAATCACCTCGGGAACCTTCTATTTCCGGATTACGAGACAAGGGACCGCATCGTTGCATCGTTCGGACGAAACAAATGCACTCGTCGAATTATTTACGCCGACATCTCCAAATCTAAACACCGGAAACTTCTGCTGGACTAATTTAATGGACTTAATGGACTAGTGAGCAAGCAGATCCGCTCCAGATACGTCATTGCCAATTATCGCGAAAGTCTGTCCGAATTCGTCGCGTGCGATACTTTCGGCTTTGACAGGCTCCACGATTGTGCAGTGCTGCAGCGACAAATTTATTGGCCGTAATAGTATTTATAATTCAGATGCGGAGAACCTCTCGGCGATAATTGTGCAGCGTTCTGGTTCGCACGGTGAAACGNTTTACGAGTTATCAACGGAAAACGCTGGCCAATGAGAAGCGAGATCGGCTAGCCGTGTCAACGAGCGGTCGACGCCCAGTTCCGCTGATTGGCTCGGCCGTCTAGCGTCGGCTGATCTCTCGCCTCTCTGATTGGTCGGCGTTTTTCGTCGATAACTCGTAAACGAAGCCGCGGATCGCATTTTCGCCAAGGAAAAAGTTGCTTCGAATCACCTCGGGAACCTTCTATTTCCGGATTACGAGACAAGGGACCGCATCGTTGCATCGTTCGGACGAAACAAATGCACTCGTCGAATTATTTACGCCGACATCTCCAAATCTAAACACCGGAAACTTCTGCTGGACTAATTTAATGGACTTAATGGACTAGTGAGCAAGCAGATCCGCTCCAGATACGTCATTGCCAATTATCGCGAAAGTCTGTCCGAATTCGTCGCGTGCGATACTTTCGGCTTTGACAGGCTCCACGATTGTGCAGTGCTGCAGCGACAAATTTATTGGCCGTAATAGTATTTATAATTCAGATGCGGAGAACCTCTCGGCGATAATTGTGCAGCGTTCTGGTTCGCACGGTGAAACGATCGAATGGTCGCGAAACCACGTCGAAATTGTAAATTATCGGAAACATTTTGTACAAGCCCGAAAGCTGCGAGCAGTCGCGGCGTTACCTTAGACAGAGCACCCTTGACGAGGGATGGGCGCAAGCTGCTACGGTCGTTCGCGTCTATTTAATTCGCCTACGATTCGAAGAACGTCGAGCCACTGTGCGTCATTTAAAATAAATTCGCGAAGATCGCATCGATAAAATTCAACTCGTCGAGGCCGAATCAATCATTAAACGAATCATCCCGTTTACGAATACGTACTTCGATCGATCGCCGTAGGTATCTCGAAAGATCGAACCAGGCGCCTCGCTCGGGCAACATTCTATTATTCAAGCATCCATTGTCTTCTCGATTAGTTCGCATAATCGAGGTTCTGCCGCATCGGTGACCGGGAGACTCGTAACAGTCGCCGTCGAGGCGAACTAGTTTCGCCGTGTACCGAGGAAACAATCGGTGCCGGCTGACTACGGACCGAGTAAGAAGCAGGATCCCGGAAAGACTTCTCGCAAGCTATTAGCAGAACCGGGAAGACACTCGAACTCGTAACGATATTTCATCTATTTCCCTCGTTCCGTTCTACCGTCTTCTTTTTTCATTGAATTTCGCCCCGGCGCGGCGCGCCGCGGTGTTTGCCGCGCGAACCCGGGTTCCACTAACGTAAGTGCCGAGCGACCCAGTTCCCGAACTGCCGAAGAATGCGTTCGCAAAACTTCTAGTCTCTTGCTCGTTATTACTTATTTCCCCGTTCCGCGTTTTCTTCCCGACTTTGTTACCGTTCCGAGAAATTTCGAAATCGCGAGCTCGCGCGCCGAGAGATCCCGGATCGCCGGGAACCGGCCGTGACAAGCCCGGCCCGGTATGCTATACGAGACCGGTCGCCTAATTTCGTTTCTTAGATAACGGCTCTCGTTTAATTATATCTGCGGATCTACGACGGGGGGGGGGGGCGCGGTTGACGAAGAACCGTGGCGGCGCGGCACGATCGGCCGCCGCTCCGACCCGGGTCTACTATGCCCTGGAGACCACTGACTGGCTTTATAATGCACGACGCAATGTTTCAGTAGTGACTCAGCGACCAGCTGTCTGACAGTAGCTTATTAAGGTGCACACACCACCCTCGCTGATGTCATAAATACTTGATGCGGATACATGGCCGGCTACAATATATCGTACGCGTTCACCGCCGACTGGGACAATATAATATTTCCGACTCGACAATCATCTAATTCGTCCAAATGAATCACACCAGCCGTTCCTGGAACACTTCCTTCTGACACGGCGCGGGGGATGCACTTTTGTTGCCGATAGCTGGGCCTTTGCGTCGCGGCATGCTGCGACGGAGACGTTTGGTTTTCGGTGGGTGGGGTGGCTGGTATTTTAATATTTCGGTATTTTTGTATTTCTATATTTTTATATTTGTATACTTTTATACTTTTATATTTTTATATTTTAATGTATTTTAATATTTTAATACATTTTAATATTTTAATATTATAATATCTTAAGATTTCAATATTTTAATATCTCAAGATTTCAATATTTTAATATCTCAAGATTTTAATATTTTAATATTTTGACAATTCAAGATTTGAACGTTTTAATATTTTCATATTTTAATATTCTAACGCTTTAAGATTTTTAAATGTTTTAAGAGCGTTTAACGCGATAATTTTGTAATTGCATCTTCGTCACATTTTAAAGCTAGATCGACTTAGCCTAGTTAGGCTATAAAACATGGAAGACGTGGATTTTCTAGATTTTTAAGACAAAGACTTTTTTCAGGGCACATTCTTCTAATTAAATCAGTTTTGTCGAAAACTGGATTAGTCAAATAACGATATTTATATGCACCTATTAATATGTTACACCGATTAGTATATCAGGCTGATTTCGCATACGATATCGATTTCGCGTGCGACCAATTTCGACCACTAGAACTTCCTGTCTTCAATCGGCGGGACCCGCGGCGTCGACCAGGATCCGTTAACACCCAGGATACCAAAGGCAGCACCGCCCGCAGCGTCGTCGAGCCGCGCGTTAAAAACTAGACGAACAACTGGAAGTTCCGCCGCGTGCCTGGAAAAATGAGCGGTGTTTTAAACATGGAGCAGCCGGAGCACGCGCGACCGATAGATTTTCGACGAGATAGATTGCTCTTTCGCGAAACAATATCAGTTTTGTATTTAAATTGCAGAAGAATGTAAATTCGTTCATATGTTCTTCCGCGGGTATGATTGAAATTCATCGAAAATCTCTTGGACGGACCGGACCGGTAACTTTTTTCCGACATATTTTCATAGTAAGGAAGAGAAGAGAGGAGAGAGAGAGAGAGGGGAAGGGGAGACGAGGTCGGGTCGCTCGGCATACAAAGTTTTTCATCGGGCGCAACGCGAAGGCGGGGAACAATATTTCAGCGCGGCGGAGGAGAGGAACTTTCAAAGCGGAAGTAAAATACAAACTTATTAAATGCGCGGGGATTACAAGAACAATGCGGAGACGACTGCCGCGGACGATTCAGTCCGCGTTTATTGCGCGAGCCAAGTGGACGAGGGATTAATGCCGTGTGCAAATTGAAACGAACAGAAGAAAAGAAGTTCGGGCGACGGGTACAGTAATGTCTCCCTTACCGACGCTCAGATTGTCCACTAAAATGGATAATTTCGGAAGAGGAGATACGATTGTTCGAGCCTTGCGGCTCGTTTTTATAATTGTGGACAATTTATAACTACAAAAATAAACCGCAAGGCTCGAATAATCGTATCTCCTCTTCCCAAATCGCCTATTTTTGTGGTCGATCCGGGCGTCAATTAGAGAGACATTACTGTAATTTCACTTACGCGGCGCGCTCGACGTTTCGTAGAAACGGCAGCGTAGAGACACGTCCTAAAGAAAATGATCTGCCGCTGTTTTCTTTGTTTCCATCGTTCGTCTCTCGTCCAAGGGATTCACGGAACAACGAATTGAATGCGCGCGCGAGGAGCTCCACGCCCACGCGTTTAATTGCCAACGGAACGTCGCGCCGCGTCGCGTCGCGAAAGTATATTCAATTTTCGGTTGACGCAACGCGACTCGCATTCGCACACGCGTCTGTGAAGTGTAATTAGAGTCATTACCAAAGTGGGCCGAAGACTCCTGGCTGCTCTGCTCGGGCTCGCGCGTTATTAATTACTCGGGATTCAGGTCCAGGCCAATCTAGCAACAATATCTGAATTTCGAAATTCACTGTCGGGCACAACGGACGGCCGACAATCGCGAGTGCCAACCGAATTCATTGTAGAAATTATTGTATCGCATTACGATTTAATTGATCGCGTTTCATTATATTCTACTCTCTATTTTATTTTGCTCATATTTTATTTTATTTTATTTTATTTTATTTTGTTTTGTTTTATTTTATTTTATTTTCTCTTGTTTCGTTGTCTCTTGTTCGATTGCCATTGTATATGCTACCGCTCCGACACGGCCGATCCGTAAGGAAATCGATAAAAGTTCGTTAAACGGCAACCGAATTGTCCACTCTGAATCCACCACGCTCGAAATCGCTATGATTTATATTTTATGATTTTCAAACATCGTGGAAAAGTTTTAGATAAGTTACGATCAGTGGATTTGTAATGAAAAATGCACAAAATCCAAGCGAATCGAAATTTAGAAGTTCGATAACTGGAACTGGATTCGCCTAATCAAAATAATTGCAAGAGGCGAAGCAGCGCGAGGCGAGGCAACGCGCGGCGAAGCAACGCGAAGCAACGCGAAGCAACGCGAGGCAACGGAACTACGAACCGACGCGACGAAGGAAAAAGCAATGCAACAAGCGCCGCGCGGACTGGGGAGACGGTTTTACGAGGCGACTAAACGGTTGTAATCTCACGCCGCGCTTTCCTTTTCTTTTCATAGCCACTTCCGACCGCTTCCACTGCCAGCACTGCCACGCTTCCACTGCCATCTGCCACGGGTCGTCCACGGGGGTTTCAATCTTCGATGATTTCGGACTAATTTACTCCCGGCGAGGTAGAACAGTCGACAATGTGCCCCTCCTTTATTTAGAATCTCTTCGAAACTTCAGCTAGCAGGCTCGGGTCAGCAAGTAAGTTCTCGCCTCCTCGAACTCTTGTTCCGTAACAGACACATACATATATCGTTGCTATTTTCTGGATGTACAGGGTGTCCGGGATCATTTGCACCGGCGTTCTCTTCCCGAACGCCGAACGTTGGAAAAAAAAGAGATGAAAGTTTTAGTGTATTTTGCTAGCTTCTATTTAGTTTCTACTTTTTGCGATTGGCGCGAACCATTTAGCGACTTATTAACGAAAAGCAGCGACCAATGAGAGGCGAGATCGGCTGGCGCGAGGCGGCAGTGCCAATGACGGGAACTGAGCTGAGCCGCCTCGCGACAGCCGAGCTCGCCTCTCATTGGTCGCCGCTTTTTTGCTAACGACTCGCGTAAACGAAGCCGCGGATCGCATTTTCGCCAAGGAAATAGTTACTTCGAATGATCTCAGGAACCTCTCATTTCCAAATTACAAGACATTCTTCGGACACTCTGTATATTTCGTCGTTTAAGGCGACACAACAGCGTCCTCGAATTCTTGAAAAGTTTACACCAATTTTACATTCGGAAACTTTACATCCGCCGGTTTCCGTGGATCGGAAAATGCATAAAAACCCGCAGTCCACTCGTTGGTAATCAAAAACCGTTCGTTCGCCGTTCCAGATCCCGAAAAACCATAGAAAGTTATTGACCGATGCCCGATTAAACGGTTCAAGAGCCAGGATCCCGGGGTGGTTCAATTATCGCAGTCCGAGATGAAGAAACGGAGGCAGCAGCGGTAGCCGAAAAAGAAGAAGAAAAGAAGAAAAGAAGGAAGAAGAAGAAGAAGAAGAAGGCCGCAGGAGGAGACGAAGAGTGGAGCGTGGAGCGTTAAGGGTTGCTGGGTGGCCAAGCGAGCTTGACGCGGACCGAGGCCGAGGACTTTTGGCGAGCGGAGCGCACACGCGTCACAATCCGTTTTCACGTCAGGTGGCCCGACATCGGCGAATTTTTATTGGAATGCTGCCAGCGTTGGTCTGTCACTTCCCCTGTCCCGGAATCTATGTATATACGTCTCGGGGGCTGAAGTATGTAAGACGGGACGACGTATTTATTTACGGGACGCCGCGGCGGAGAGGCGGGGTAGAGGTATTCGTAGCGCCGTAACTTGCCATACGGCCGCGGTAATGGCGATTTTATGTTGGGATGCCGAGTCGTTCTTGAGCCACCGCCGCGCCGCTCCCATTCGAACAACCCCCTCTGTCATCCGTCGAGCGCGTCGCGCCGTTTCGCAACCGGGGATCCGGCAACGCTATACTCCTATACTCAGTGGCACCCGAAAACTCCGCCCCCGCACCGTTCGATCCAAAAATCTGGCCGAAACACGACTTTTCGAAGCTACGATCGTTTTTCGAATCGTGGAGGGAGGGCGGCACGATTTTCGTTGTCCGAGCTGTCCCAATGTACGGAAAATAGCGTAACGCTCGGATCGTGCACAGAAATGGACAATTTGGGAAGAGGAGATACGATTACTCGAGCCTTGCGGCTCGATTTTATAGCTGTCGACGATCGGTAACTATAATAAACGAGGTGCAAAGCTCTAAAAATTGCATCTTCTCTTCCCAAATTGTCCATTTTTCTGCATAATCCGAGCGTCAGTTACGGAGACATTACGAAGAAGGTGGACAATCTGAGCGTTAATTAGAGAGACATTATTGTATTTGTTTCATTACGCGCGCTCCTGTGCCGTTGTTTCGCGCAAACACTTTTGGCAAAGGTAAAGACTTTTGCTTCTAAACATCGAACCTCGCAGGGGGGGGGGGGGTGATTTTCTCAAAAAAAGGCAAGATCTCGGAGGGTTGCTCAAATGATTATTATTATAAATTGCTCGAAATAGCTGCAGTCTGGAACAACGGAACAATTTGAGATCGCGAAAAGAGTCCGTGCAAGCAGAACGTCTCGAAGTAGCGATGTCCACAAAAACTGGAACGGCTCGAAGCAGCAAAGCGCGGAAAAATCTCATCGGCTCAAAGTAGCGAGGTGTTCGAGCCGAACGCGGAAGGAGAGTAAACCTCGCGAGCAAAGTCGAAAAAATCTCAACGTTTGAAAAAGTAGCGACATCTGCGAACCGGACGACTGAAACCAGCGAATTCCACGAACCAAACGACTGAGACCAGCGAAGTCTCCGAAGGCAACCGCTCGAAAGCAGCGGCGTGTCCGCGATAGGAAAAAGCGGCGGGCGTCCCTGGCTCTGAGAGCGGCGTCGCACTCCGTGCAGGCGAGCAAATTAAACTAAAAAAGATGCGACTCGATTGCAGCGAGAAACGCTTCCTTCCTCCGGCGAGCCGGCGCGGCGCGGCGCTGCTCGGCTCGGCTCGGCGCGGCGAGCTCGGCGCTTCCCTCCGGAACAAACAGTGACACAAATACAACTTGTCCTAGTTCCGCGGCTCACCCTATATGCGCCACAATGCGGCCGCCTTTCCGTTTTCCAGCTCCCTTCTCTCTCTCTCTCTCTCTCTCTCTCTCTCTCTCTCTCNACCAGCGAAGTCTCCGAAGGCAACCGCTCGAAAGCAGCGGCGTGTCCGCGATAGGAAAAAGCGGCGGGCGTCCCTGGCTCTGAGAGCGGCGTCGCACTCCGTGCAGGCGAGCAAATTAAACTAAAAAAGATGCGACTCGATTGCAGCGAGAAACGCTTCCTTCCTCCGGCGAGCCGGCGCGGCGCGGCGCTGCTCGGCTCGGCTCGGCGCGGCGAGCTCGGCGCTTCCCTCCGGAACAAACAGTGACACAAATACAACTTGTCCTAGTTCCGCGGCTCACCCTATATGCGCCACAATGCGGCCGCCTTTCCGTTTTCCAGCTCCCTTCTCTCTCTCTCTCTCTCTCTCTCTCTCTCTCTCTCTCTGCCGCTTTTTCCCGGCCGCGTATTACGCACTGAAAAACTTTTAGAGCGGCAACTCAGCTCATCTGTCCCGTCGTTTCGTTTTATCTCCGCTGGGAAAGAGAAAGAATGCATCGTCCATCATGGCCTCTCTCGATTATCCCACGGGAGGCATGTGCTCTCCCGGCATTCAGCATCCAGCTGAACCATGCGCGACCACCCTTGCCCTTTTTCCTCTCTTCTGTCTCCCTTCTCGCTTCTCGATTCTCGCTTCTGTCCCCTGTTGCGTCTCCCCGGCCCTCTTCCGCTTGTCTCTCCCTCTTTCTCTCGTTTCTCTCTATTTCTCTCGCTTTTTCTCTTTCTCTCGTTTCTCTCTATTCTTCTTTCCCTCGCCTCTTTCTCTCTTTCTCTTCCTTTTTCTCCTATTTCTCTCTATTTCTTTTTCTCTCATCTCTTTCTGTCTTTTTCTTCCTCTTTCTCGAATTTCTCTCTTTTTCTTTTTTCTAATTTTTCTTATCCCTCTCTCTCTCTCTCTCTCTCTTCCTCTTTCCCTCGTTTCCCTCTCTTTATCCCCTTCCCTTTCTCTTTCTCTCATTTCTCCCTTTTCCTATTTTCTAAATTTTCTTCTCTCTCTTCTTCTTCTTTCTCTCATTTCTCCCCATCTCCCTCCCTTCCTCTTTCTCTCATTTCTCTCTATTTCTCTCTCATCTTTTTCTCTCTTTCTCTTTATCTCTCTGCCGTTCCCTCCAGAGCTTCCCTTATCTCAAAGTTAAAGTACGCAAAGAGTCGGCGTCATTAATTATCCTAACCGGATAGATTAAAATAGTTGGCTTGGATAGAACTGCGTGGAACTTCCGTGGAATTCTGCCGCCGTAAAGTGTTTCGAACGATCAAGAAACAAGCAGCCGGCCGGCAGGCGCACATACTTCTCGTTACGCGCGCGCGCGCGAGTGGATTAGACAGGACTTTTTAATTGGAGCTCGCCGAGGTTGTTGCGTGCGCGCGGATGCCCCGAACCGCTGAATTCTGATGCATCCTCGAACGAAAAGCGGACTCGCCCGATTATTACCGGGTTTCGCGCGATCCTCCGTTAACCCCTCGCGATTTATTCTCTTTTTCTTTTTTCGAAAGAAACGCGCGAGCACGGTTCACGCGAAATAAAACTAAAATATTTCTGTGTTTCTCGTCTCGGTGATTTGCACGAACGCGAGGACGTTGTTTCGTTTGTAACAGAACGGATCGATAAAGCGATGCTAACATTAACGAATTATTAAATAAAAAAAGGTTGAAACACGTCCCATTGTAAGTTACGATGAGATCGAGACGAAAATTCTGAACAGAATCGAAGTAACCGTGAACCAAATTTGCGAACTATTTCAATTCCTTCTCAATGTTCTCTATTTTCTAATAATTCGCTATATCGTTGTATAGCTGCGGCGACGCATTTTTCGATAGAAAAAACAAAGCGGGACAATGTGTAAATATCGTAGTAATATTTTTTTTCACCAGTTCGTAGACATTTATACGATCGAATAACAGATCGCTGTTGACGAATTTGTATACAGTAAATTCTCCCCGATAAATTCTTTCAGCTTGTGAACAATAATGGACAGTTTTTTTGTTTGTCGAGCTTCGCGGCACATTTTTATAGTCGCCGATTGCCGACAATTGCGAAAACGAGGTGCATAATCGAATGATCGAATAATTATATATATATTAATATTTCGAATAATCGCGTCTCCTCTTCCGAAATCGTCCATTTTTCTCTGCAAGCCGAGCGTCAATCGGGGAGAATTTACAGTGCATCGAAAAATAATGTTCAACCCTTTAACCTCGAAATAATTACCAGCGAATTTCCACCGAATCGAGGATAGTCGCGACATTTATTTCTGTTAGACGCGCGGTACCGCGGTGCGAAAGAGCGTCGAGGGTTGGTCGGAAGATCTCGGAAAAACGCAAGATGGCGCGAGTCCAAAACGGGAGCCGGTTTGCCGATAAACCGGGTGAGCGTCTATCTATCCGGCGGTGCTGTACCGCGAGGTACGTGGGTGCGGTCGCAATTTGTGTTCGAGCAGAAGTTTGCGTTTATTACATCGTCCCTCTCGGCGGGGGCGAACGAGAACGGGCCACGACACCGAGACGCGAGACGCGGCGAGAGACGCCGCCGAAGGCTTGTTATTACGGGGCCGGGGCATGCCTGTTTATCCGTAGAATCGAGGGAGGGACGAAGTATGCTCGCTGAAAAATTCATTAACGTGCAAATTGAAAAGCGCCATTAGGCGTCTCTATCAGCGCGAGCGCCCCGAGCCGGTTCGATCCTTTTCTTATCCCCCGGTCCGCGACCGCGGCCGCGCCCCGGCTCCGTCGGCGGATATTAAGAAGCTCGGGAATTTATTAGATTCTTTGGTATCCCCCGATAACGTCGTTTCACGGGTTTAAAGCGAAGAACGATTGATCGGGTCAAAGGTCAACCCTTTCCGAGCCGACGGAACCTGCGGGCCGCGCAGGCTCGAACTTCGAGCCGTTGTCATTCCGTGGAGAACGATCGTACGGAAGTGAACTTGGGCTCGTTTCGAAGCTCGGAGATTCTACTTGCGCCGTGTATCGTTCGTTTCCCTGCGACACCTTTCCGCGTAAAACAGCAGCCGCGAAACCCGGAGACGCGCTCGTTCTTGGACATTTCTGCGAATCGAAGAGAAAGCGTACCGTCGGTAGTTCCAGCTCGCGCGGATCCCAGGGAAAAAATCGTAGAAGGAAACGGACTACGGAGAATCGAAGCGGAGGTTCCAAGCTTCGAAACGAGTCGGGGTTCGTCGTTCTACGATTTCTCTCCCGGAGATTATGGCGGTTTAAATATCGTTCGTTATCGGTTAGATCGCGAAAGATCTCGCGCGATCGAACTCGCTCCTCGTTTCTGGTCCGTCAAGCGGCTAGAAAAAATCGTAGGGCAAGCTTCGAGGTGTCGTTGGAAAGAGGAGACTTCGCTCTTCGGAACGATGGTAGGATCGGACTCGGAAAAAAATTGTTCGGCGACTCGCGGGACCGAGTTCGTAGAATTTTCACGGAGAGGCGTGCCTTCGGTTCGCAGGCCGATACCGCGCGAGACAAAAATCGTACGAGAAAATGAGCTACGGCCGTGGAAAGCGTAGGCTTCGAGCTTCGAAACGAGCTAGAATCGATCGTCGTGCGATTTCGTTTCGCGAAATTCCGACACGAACGCAGGTCGGAAATCGCGGATCGATCGACGATCTCCAGCGACGCGCGTCCTGCAGCGCGGATTTTATCGCGGCATGTTCGACCGACTCGAAACGAAAGGAGTAGCTCCGTTCTCCGCGGAAACGAGCGTTTCATTAGGCGCGCGCGGCGGAACCGGCACGCGTCGGATTTCCAATAAATGAATAATTAATAATCGATCGGCGAAGCCGCGGGCCGGGGTAAGAAACGAGCGCGATTCGTTGCAGCGCGCCGCGAGCTAATACAATGGCAGAAGCCGGTGGATCGCACACTTATTGCTCCGATCTACCTGCGGACACGTATGTATGTACTACAGGGAGCCGCGCGTATGTACGC